CTGACACACACCAGTGGTTTAAACACCATATGGCATAGCAACAAGCAATAGGACATATCAGACAAATATCAACTTATCTTAATTTGCGCAGATCGATGTTCATGCTGTTGATGACTGGATTGTCTGGTCCTACTCGAGTATTAACAGACAGCCGCCATATAGCTAGAATATTGCTGGGTGCGGCGTTAAACTAAACTCACTCACTCACTTAATTTACATCAGTTCTTGCAGCTGTCATGGAGCGTTAGGGGTCTTGTCTGACCCGAAAGTCCTATGTTGGTGTCATTCTACAAATGCCTTTCCAAAAGCTAAGAGGGATAAACAGATTGGATAATTGGCAGTCTTGGCAAGTATGTAAGCGTTATTTAAAAAGTTAATCGTAATGCTTATTACACATAGACAATTTCTTACTTTAATACATGGCGCGAATTTCATCATCTACCTCTGGGCTAAAAGTCGGCAACAAACTGTATCTATTTTATGATAAAATTCAATTATATTCTTAATCACCTGACGTCTCGTTCTTTGTGGTACAGTGTACAAACAGGGCTGAGATTCAGATGCTATAATGAGTACTTTTGTTGAAGGCAGAACACTGAAATGGCATTCTACAAAATACGTTTCCAGCAGCACAAGGGGTGACAATAACGGGGCAACTGGTGCCCAGTCTTTGCAAGATTGTAAATGTTCATTAAATCGCCTTTCTAAAAAGTTAATTATAATCCTTATTATATTTAGACAATTTCTCACTTTCACATATGGCGAGAATTTCACCATCTACATCTGGGCAGCAGACTATCTTTCTTTCAAAACATTCAAATCATTCTCAATCACCTGATATATCTTCTTTGTCAATACAGTGAACAAACATGGTCAGAGATTTAGATGCTATCCGAGTACTTTTGTAGAAACCAGAACACTGGATCCGGGAAAGATGATCATCACAAGAGGGCGTGAATGTCGCCATGCTGACGGCGACAACTGCACCATCGCTAGAACGTGATGTTGATGTCACATCCTCTGTAAGTGTCTGGTTTCCTTTCGTCCAGATGATGGTGGACAGCGGTCGTGTCGGATTGGTCTCACACATAAGCGTGACGTCTTCATTCTCCGTCATAGCCATGGGGAGGTTTGTTGAGTTGATAATACTTATTTCCACCAGAGGTACTGTAAATGTGTAAAGACAAGATACTTTCATATGATAAGTTATATGATTATATTTTGTTTGTATTATTGGTTTGAATTATGAAATAAAGTAAAATATAGACATAAGAAAGTTATCTCAAATACATGCAACATCTCTTCGAGAAATAGAATCCTTGGACAGCGCATTTCAAAAAGAAACATATGCATACATGCAATCACAATATATGTACAAGATAAGGAGTTCCCAGTAACTTAGCTTCACGAAATCTGGGTAAATAAACACTATCTATATCACTGACTACACGTGACTACATTCAGATCGGCAAACAGCACTTATGTTGCCATCTTGCACGCTGATATACTCGCAGGGTAAACAGTGGTGACATTAGCACAGGCGCGATGATACGGAGCACACCACCCCTATTTACAGTTTGTTTCATATGACACGTTTGTGAATTCTCTCATTGTAAGTACAAACGATTTTGACAATAAACACCGTTTTAGTTACGAGAGGTTAGAATAATATTATTAATCCTAGAAAAACCGCTTTCAAAAAGAGATGGAAAAGAATATTTCCGGTTTTAACAGAACTGATAGCAGAAAATTGAAGAAAGTTGTTTGTTTTGTTTTGTTTTTATTCATCATTGGTAAATTGAAGAAAGAGAGAATACTACACGAGGTCTCATTACATACGAATTATACGAGACGAGTGTCCTTCCTATGGTATCTGACCGAGCGAAAGCGAGGTCAGATAACATTGGAAGGTCACGAGTTTCGTATAATTCGTATGTAATGAGACCGAGTGTGGTATTTTATTTATTACCCACGTCTTACATGCATTAAATTGACAAAATAGCGTATTTTTGTTAATATTTTGGTTTCAAACCGAAACCGGTTTCATAAAGAGGTTGCGGAAGAGTTTTGTACTGTAGTACAATATTTGCATGACGTCACACCGTAATGACGTCACTGCCTTGGTAACCGACGTCACGATGCATGTCAGTTGTCATCGCCTCGTACAACCTCCTACAGTAAACTACTCCGTAGCACCCCGTTTCTTGGTTTGCAGTTGCTTCATTCGGCTAACATCACTGGTGGAAACATTGCGTTTATGTTTTTCGATGGATATAATGTCTCTGTTCGACTCACAATTAAACAGCGACACGGCAACGTTCGCAATGTTTACATTCCCACAATGCATTTAAGTTGTAGAATGAATGAATTCACGTGTTTGTTATGAATGAAAAAATAGTTACGTCAGAATGTGACCTAATTGAGAGGTCCTCGGTTATCCAATCAAATCGTTAGAATCTCAGGTCAAGTCGTTACGACACAGGTCAACGCGATACGACACTCGTGTGACGTACGGGATTAGTATGCAACTACCCATACGTTGACCACGTGGGTAATAAAGTTAAATATCAGACTCTGTACTTTACCATCGATGTGAAGGAGAGTCGAGTTCGTTCTCAGGTTGGTTCCTTCGTAGAATCCAACACAATACATTCTCTTCATATGGAACTCTCTTGTGACTTCCACTGAAAGACGACCTACAGTAACAGTCAGTCCTCCGTCTTCACGAGTTGATGAAGAGACGCCAGTTGTTATAATGTCGTCATCCTTCATCCACGTTATGTTGGACGGTGGTTTGGTCGGGTTTGTCTCACACACCAACAACATCGTGTCGCCTTCAGTCAGATTTAGCACATGTGTTGTGGAAGTCAACAAGCTGATCGTCTTCAGTGGCACTTTGGAAGAACATAAAATGCTTACATTACTTTTACTTTCGTTATATGTAGGTACCACAGGGCGCGTGTCAGTAAAGTTCTTCAACCTAAACAAGAAGACAAAAATCACGGTGGAGGCCGATCGGGTGACGTTATTTGGAAATATCCCTGACGGTTCTAGCTTGATTTTTCATAGTTTCAAACTAAATGCTTATTACAAAGAATCATTGATATCATATAAATAGTTATAATTGTGGATATTAACGCATGCATTTTTTGAAATAGGTAACAGTTGAAAATGAAAACAACTTTTGTCAATTGTATTTTACGATAAATACATTTTTGTGTTCACTTTTTTTTGCGTCATTGAACAGAATTCGTAATATGCCTTGACATTACAATCACCTTATGTACAATTTCTCAAAGTAATCTTTTCTTGTATTAATTTGACAAATCGCATCAACTTTTAAGTAAACTGGAAAGTGCATGCAAACATAATTATAGCTGAATTATGCTAGGATTATAAACCACCAAAATAAATACCTACATAGACTTTGGATTTCTACTAAATAAATCCTAACATTTTAGTCAAATGAAATTCAGCTGAATAAAGTGTGGAATAATCATATCTATAATAAACTGGAAAGAATTACGCTTACGCGTGGCTAGGCACTGATCGCAAACAGATTCCTGGAATGTCATCCAGTTATACACGAAACAAACGAGTCAGGGGATTTGTCGGAGATCAGTACCAGTGCTCCTTTATGGACCATGAATGTTTCTGAGGTTGCAAAAATCAGTATCTCTCCATGTTAGGTAGTGAGTGAGTGAGTTAGTTTTACGCCACTTTCCAGAAATGTCAGGGAGGTGGGCACCAGAGTTGGACTTCATACATTTTACTAATGTTGGGAATCGAACCCAGGTCTTCGGCGTGACGATCGAGCGTTTTCACTAGGCTACTCCACCGCCTCTGTTAGTCAATGAAGCAAAACAGTTTCATGCTACATTTCATGTTCCAGTTATTCAGTTCATGTGGAATTCAGGTTCATAAACAGATCCAGTTGGATGATTGCAAATATGGGACGAGATAGGATAAAATGGTGTCTGCATGCACTGAGTTTTTGCATATTTGACTCTGGACTGGAAATAATAAAACTTTTGTTCGATATCCTGGATTTATTAATGCAATTAACATGTGAATGTTTGTTGGTACTTCATGAAATATTGCACCAACAGATTATCTAGATTCTTGGTTTGTATGACACGTACCAGTGACATCTAGGACCACCTTGTTACATGAGGTCCTTTCAATGAATGCGAATATGGGACGAACTAGGATTAAACGGTGCCTGAAGATTAACTTGTATTCATATTATTACTCTAAACCGGAAATAATTATTTTTGTGCAATAGAAGATATACCAAAGGCAGAAAACCTGCCAAATGTTTTTCGGTACTTCATTGAACATTGCACAAACACATAATATTTACATCCGTGATTGGTCTAACACTTACCATTGACGTCTAGGACTACCGTGTTGCTCCTCTCACCAATAGACACGTCAAAACATGTCCAGTTCGAATTATGATGTGTCAGGTAATTGACGTCAAGAATTGTCAGAGTGTTTGGGCGGCCTGGCTGACATGTGAAGTTATAGATATCCGTCGGGTTGAAGTAATATATACATGTTTCATCAATGTATGATCTCACTCTAAATAAAGATGTTCCGTTTTGTAACTGTGCGGTCCAGTTGACACGATAATGCCTTCCCAAAACGCGTCTGCAGGTGAAGGTGAATGGTTGGCCAGCGACTGCAGTAGTGGAGGACCCTGTCAGGTATACCCTTCCTGGCAGGTATACCCTTCCTGTAGGAGAAAGTGTGAGATGTGATTAAAATAATGGACATGATTCTGAATTACAGGTATCGATTGTTGATGTCTGCTTCCATATACATCACACGACATTACACTAACTGCGTTACACATCCGTACTCGACCGATTCCAATTTTGTTGTGACTTCAAGTTATGCATCAAAATGTCGAGCTCACATGAAACACCACAACCAAACCGCCATATAACTGAGGAAGAGAATTATATGAAACATGGTGAGTATGAAATAGTTGTTACCTTCACAGATGCCTGGAAGGACTGCAAACAGAAGAAGGCATATCCCTGTCATGTTCTGCAAAGGAAATTTATACGTATCAAATACTGATACAAGATATTGAATATCAACATGTATTCTGGCTAAATGTGTGAAATCAAACCTGTCATCATGAGGTAATTTGGTATGGTGGTGGTGACATGGTGTTCAGGATTATTGCACAAATACAACAAGGCGCATGTGGTATAAAAACACAGTTAAAACTGCAACATAATGGCATACCACCCCCATGCTTATTATATGACGTAAAGGACTGAATATATACTCCCTATCAAAACGTTAGACTCACTAGAGTAAATGTAGCCACTTACTTCAGTCAACTGTTCTAAACTAGATTTTGTTAAATATTCCATACTGTTTAAAGGTACTGTTTACACATGAACTGATGCACTTTTAAACAAATTTGTAACGTTGAAAAGATTATTGTCACGAGTTCAATAAATGATGAAACTCTGTGAAAATTGATGAATTCTTAACAAAAGCTTACACCAAAACGCAGCTGTTCACACGCATGATATTTTCACATGATTTTCAGCATTTTCATGCGTGAACCACATCCAGTTCAGCTGGTTCCCCCTAGTTAGTGGAGAAATTTATCTTCAATGTAACCATACATATATTCATAACATAGTGAGTCTAAACTTTTGATGGGTAGTATATGTTGGGCGGTTGGTAGGTTTGGTGTACCTGCTGTGACCACCGTATTCGATCGTATTCGACGTATCGATTTGCTGATTTGTCACACAAACATGTATGTAATCAGCTGATATGCCCACATGAACATCTACTTCTTAGTTAATATATTCACATAGACATGTTCTTCCTTGGCTGACATGCACACATAAACAAGTCCGTACAAATCACGTACTAAGTCAACTGATATACTCACTTACAAAAGCATTCCGGGCCGATATAATAACTTAAGCATATACTTTCTCAGTTGTATACTAACACAAACAGAAACTTCCTAATTAAGATGATGTTCGTGAGTGAGCGTTGGACACGGGAGCTCAAACCAAAGGCCTGAATTGGTTACGCCCGGTATTGTCTGACAAACGTCTGTTGCTTGAAACGAGCGTTCGTGGCAATGGGTTCACCCTAACGTAATGTTCAGGTCAGAGTGTGATCCTTTGTTTGAGTGGTCCTCCTGGGTTGCCTTGGCCTTGGTCGATCCCTGACAGTGCCTGGTTTTTGGTGTTTCTGGATAAGTCTACTGATGACAGAGTGGCAGGAACCAAGCTGACACCCGACGGCCTTGAATGACACGCCAGCTGCATACATACTCTGTCCGACATCTCAGTCCCAAAGACTTCTCCTCGTGTGTTAACGTTAGTGGATGAAACGGATGGCATTCACAAGTTTCCTGTCAGAGGTACTGCTTTTCATGATGTGGGTGGGCAGCAGACTTAACGTGGAGTTTTCAAACTAAAATCTTGTTTTTCAGTATCTCAAATGTGCTCCTAAACAATGGGATCATTGACATATCATCATCGATACATGTAGCTATGTGTACCTCACTGTGATGAAATATATTAGGGGAGCGTAATTAAGTTGTGGAATGCTGGCATGTCATTGAGGGCTATTGCAAGAGATGTTGGTTGTCATTCATCGACTATCAGGTGATTGGCCTGCAAACATCATAACGTTTATGCACGAGTGGCAACTCCTAGGAGGATAAACCCTTCTCAGAATCATAAGACGTTTTCGTTCAAGACAACTGGCTTCAACATCGTCGTTTGTCCAACAGAATGGCCCGAAATCGTTTAAATCGGCCGGGGATTAAGCAGGACGGACTATCAGACGTCCGTTGTTATCCCGAGAACACAAAGCAGCACAAGATTGGTGTCAAGAATTTGACGTCATGGGAAGGGTCCACTGGTCGAACGAAAGTAGGTTTCGTGGCCGAGCTCGTGTTCACTACTGAATAAGCGCACAACGGAATGCCTTGGAGCAAGAACTGTTTGGCGAGGGTTTATTGATGGTGCGGGTGTTCTTCAAACATGACTGTAAACTTGACCTTGTCACGACCAGACAATGTTTCAATGGTCAACGGTACTTCACCGACATCCTATACAGGGCTGTTGTACCATCTTCTGAACACAATAGTGCTGGAATATTGCTGTAAGCGGCGTAAACCCAAACTCACTCACTGAACACAAGGCCAGTCTTCATGGACAATACTAGTCCACACCGTGCATGTGTCGTTAGTGATTTCTTTCAACAGGGCATATTCAAGAGGCGAACTCTACTTTCGCCCGTCAGGGGTACAGATCTCAAAACCACAGAGCATGTTTGTGACAAGACGGGTCATAGAATTCGCCAGAAAGATATTCCAGCATGCAATTATGATGCATTGGAATACTCCCTCCACCAAAAATGAAAAGCAGTACCTCAACGTCAATTCTACGTCTGAGGAGGGTGAAGGATGTTGCAGTCGGTGGAGCTTACACCATATATTGACATTGTGGTTTCTTGATGTCTGAATGCCTGAATCTTGAAAATGAACACGTTTGTTAAAATCTAGTCGTTTCACAGTCCCTGAACAACATTATTTCCCTACTACTTGGCCTCCCCGCAATGCTGAAGCCCTTAATTCCCAGGTTCAGGAATCTTCCAACTCAATGGGGCTCCTTTTCAATTTAAATAGGTTTATTTGTTACTATCAAAAATATACTGAGTCAAAAAAGAAACTTCACAAAATGTAATTTGAAAAATAATGAATAATTTTTCTCTGATGATACATCTATGTATCCGAAATGGGATCCCTATCTTTCGACTCTAGAAAAACGTTAGCAAAACCCACTCAAACCCATCCATTCGTAGTGCAAAGGACATTAGTGCCAAATCAGGGTTTGCACGTGCAGTCGATCACGTGATCTTTGCATCGAAGTTTTCTTCATATGCACGTGTTTGCATTGGCCTCAAGAATTGAAAAAACACTTTTAAACCACAGTTCTAACGGTACTTGAAATACCACGATTGTCAAATGTGCAACGTGAACGCGCCGATGGCATGTTGCAAGCGGGAAGATCAGTTATTGACGTCGCAAGAGCAATGGGATGCAGCCGTCGTACTGTGTATGACTTGCAAGGTCGTCTACAACAAACTGGCACCACTTCTGGTCGCCCAAGGTCGGGTCGTCCACGTGTGACGTCACGAGCAGAAGACCGTCAAATCATCCTACGTCACCTACATGACAGATTTCTGCCGGCTACACGAACCAGGGCTGAGATGTTTAGAGGTCGACTGTCCTCACAGACCATTCGAAATTGGTTGCGGGCTGCCAATCTCCATTTTCGACGTCCATATCGTGGGCCAATATTGACGCCGTTTCATCAACGTCAACGTCTGCTGTGGGCCCAACGTCACCTCCGATGGACCCAGAGAGACTGGAATTGAGTCGTCTTTAGCGATGAATCCAGGTTTACCCTCAGATTCGCGGACGGCAGGCATAGAGTCTGGAGATTACGTCGTGAACTGTATGCCCAATGTTGTGTACAGGAAGTCGACAGATTCGGGGGCAGAAGTTGCATGGTGTGTGGTGCTTTCTGTGGGAACAACCGTTTCCGACTTCTGGTCATCCGTGGAAACCTCACAGCTGCTGCTTACCGCGACCAGGTGCTCACCCCTGAACTCGTTCCTTTCATGGCGGCTCATGGCCCAGGTCTACAGTTCCAGCATGATAATGCTCGGCCGCATAGCGCGATGTTGACATGAAATTTCCTTCAAAACGCTGGAATCAACGTCATGGACTGGCCATCGAGGTCCCCTGACCTTTATCCAATAAAGCACGTTTGGGATGCACTTGGGAGAAGGCTTCGTGGTCTTAGGAACCAACCTCAGAATTTGCAGGAACTTGGCGCTGCCTTGCAAGAGCAATGGCGCAGAATCCCCAACCACGTGTTCACAAGCATCAGGCAGTCGATGAGGAGACGGTGTTTGGCAGTGGTGAATGCGCGGGGCGGCCATACACGATATTGAACTGAGAAATTTCGCATTTTTATTCTTGTGACTTGACATTCTGTATACCCATGTTTTGGAACGGCGGTGTAGCCTAATGGAACTGATTATGGCACTGTCTGTGTATCAAGTACATCACACAGATCTCAGCAATGAAATAATAACAATTTAACATCTTACCATCTCTTGTTCTTTTATAGTGCCCTGCAGAAAGAATGTGAAGTTTCTTTTTTGACTCAGTATATATATATATATATTCAGGGTCTTAACACAAGTTAAGACCATATGACCAAAGTTAACAGCACAACAAAAGGGGTCAAACTGGGGCTCCATGTTTATAGATGTTAAATGTTGGAAATGTGGGTTGACACCTGGGCCCACTAGTCCATGCAGGAGTGGCTGGTGTAATTCCTCACAGGTTTTCATCTGAAGAATGTTTTCCACAGACCAAGGTTGAACATTAATAAAAAAAATACAAGACAGAAAATATATGACAAATGATTTTACTGTTGAAAGACTCTGGCCATACATGTAGCTCTGCTGTTGTTCTGGTCAGCATTCCCAGAAACCTTCATATGGCCTCTGGCATAAAAATGGAGAAGCTACTGAACAGACACCTAAATGAGTGCTACCACATCACAACTCTGGGGCCACAAATACAAAGAAATATCACCTGAAAACCAAACTAATCTCATCATCAATGTTGATGATATTGCTTTGATTTGCAGTTCCATATACAGAGTGCTACCCAGGTACAACATTGACAGATTGTTTTACTATCAGTCCTAGTACTGCATCAGCTATGCTTTCATTCCGGAAGGAAGTCTGCAAGTATCAAACATTCTGTGCTGGGGTGACTGTTATTTTATCTGATATTTTCACAAGATTGTAGATGAGTAATTTCCACACTATCATGTCATGACATACTACCATTTCTTCCTCAAAGGCTACTCCACATCTGGCCAGTGATTACAAGATGTATATGAACATAATAACTAAACTTGAGATTACATGGAGATAAAATCAGAGAAAACTGCATGCTGTTCCCAACATTTTAC